GCAGGGGAGCACACTGCCAGGGAAGCACCACCCAGGACTGGGGCCCTCAGGCCACACTGGACAACCTCAGGCCGAGTTGCCTACTCGCCCACGGAGGCCGCGATGAGGACAGACAGCTGGAGGCAGAGGAGTGGCTCCGAGCACCTGGCTGCCACCCAGCACCTAGGCCTGGGGAGGAAGGCGGAAAGCTGCACCTGAGGGCTGGGCGGCACCACGGGCAGCACTCCACACTCCCGCAAGCCAGGGCACTGGACCCAGCACAAACACTAACTCCCACACCGCCCTGACGCCTGGGAACTGAGGGCTCGTCTACCCACTTATGAAAATAAAGACACTGAGCTGTAACCCTGCTGTGAAGGAGCCCTGGTGGAGGAGCCCCCTGCAGCCAGGTTAGACCACATTTTCAGCCAAGGTTGCCAGGGCCTGCGGTCCCAGGTGGCCCCCTTATGGCCCCCCTCCCCCCACCTGTCCACAGTGAGGCAGAGGCTCCCGCACTTCCAGCCGTGGGGCCTCGGGCCAGCAGCTGGCGGCACAGCCGTCCGGAGAAAGGGCAGCTGTTCCCAGGGCCAGAGCATCCCTGGGGGCCGGGCATCCCTCCCCCTCACTTAAGGCAGCGCACGCGAGCATACAGACTGCCACCAGGCTTTATTGCTCCACAGTCAAGGTAAACAGAGACAGCGAGAGCCAGAAGGCAGTCCAGACACGGGAGGCGGGCGTGGGCCCTGTGGTGGCCCCTCCACCTCTGGACAGAGGTTCCTTGCAGGCAGGACTCCCCGGGAGACAGGTCACGGGCTCCAGGACCACTCGTCAGACTCACTGAGAACCTTGGGCAAGTGCCTGCCTGCTCTGGCCTGTGACGGAGGGGTCAGAGGGCCCTGCCACATCTCCCAGCTCTACAGCCGGCCCAGCACCCACCCAGCTGCCCACAGGGCACAGGTGCAGCCTCCCTTGCCACACGCAGGCAACTCTCCTCCCACAGCACGGCCATCGGCGAGCTCCCTGCACCGACAGGAAGCTAGCAGGAGTGACATCGGACCCCTTCCTGGATCAGGAGCCCAGAGGGCGAGCGGCCGCTGCTCCTCCTGGGAGGTAGACAGGTCTTATTCACGGCACACGTGGAGAACACACAGACACGCGCACACACACGGCACACACACCACCAACCCGGAGGCCTGGGCCACAGCCCTGAGGAGGGCGGCCCCAGAGGAGCCTGAAGGCACGTGTCCACCGCACTGGCCACTGCAGGGCGCTGGGCTCGGCCCCGCCGGCTCCTGGAGGGCTGCTGGGGACGCTGCTGACCGGGACCCAGGGATGTGTCCCTGGGGCAGGGGTGCCACACCCTGAAAGGCCCCTCTGGGAAGCCAAGAGCCGGGCACTGCCCTGGGCTGGGAGCCAGAACAGGCCCAGCGTGGGGCCTGGGGGCTGGGAGAGGAGCAGGAGTGGGCCCCTGACAGAGCATTCTCCACACCTGCCCATCCTGCCGGGTGCAGCCAGGCCCTGGCAGACATGCCTAATAGCTGAAGGCCAGCCGGGGAATCAGAGTGGCCAGTGGGCACGGCCACGGGCAGAGGAAGTGACGATGTGGAAGGAGCCTGCAGGAAACCAGCCCACAGGTGCCCAAAGGGCCACTCCTGGGCACCAGCTCTCACAGGGATACTAAGGTGGGGCAAGCTCAGGCCTGCACAGGGCAGGACCCCACTTCCTTAGCACCAGGGGGCGGGGAGGGGAGAGCCCGGGCTCAGGCCGGGCCGTGGGCCGCATCCTGGGGTGGCCTGTCCGAGGCCCAGGGAACTGGGGGAGGCACAGTCCCACCAGCTGTCCGGCTGCTGCCGAGGCTGCTGTTCCAGGTGCGCCGGGAGCATCGTGGCCGCCCTGCGGGCTCCCATGGAGGAGCGTGGCTGGGGCCGTGGCAGCAGCAGACAGCCCTCCACACTGCTCTGCCCTGAAGGCCAGTGGACAGAGGTGGCCCAGCCTCCCGGAGGCCTCCTGCCTGGAGAGCGGGGAGGCTCACTCGGCTGTGGTCCGGCCTCCGACCGGGAGACGGGACCAGGGCTGCAATGAAAGCTCCTCCAGGCTTCCCGGGCCCCGCGCTTCAGCCAGCCGTGACCGTCCACCCAAGGCCTGTTTCCAGCCACGCAGGCTGCTGTGGGGCCAGGAGGGCTGTTGGCGCAGAGCCCAAGTCCTATGGCCTGGCTCACCAAGGCTGGCAATGCCCATGTCCTTGCTGCTGGGCAAGGCCCACAGAGCCCTCACCCCAGCATCAGCTCAGGGCCAGGAGATGCCAAACTGGGAAGAGGGGCAGACAGGGTTCCAGTGTGGGGACAGGTGCAGAGAAGCTGATGGGAGCTTGGCAAAGGCTCCTCCTCCAGGCTGTCCCCCAGGGTCAATGCCTCCTCCTCCAGGCTGTCCCCCAGGGTCAATACTTCAGGGCCTGTCCTCTTGAACTTGCTCACGCAGAACCCGAGGAGTGAGAGGGTGGGGAGGTCCCTTGGACCCGCGTCACAGCTCCCCCTCCAGGGTCTCTGCGAGCTTCTCCTCATCAGCCTGCTGCTTCTGCTGCTGAATCCGGGCGTAGGAAATGGCGTCACCCCTGGGGAGACAGCAAGGCAGGGTCACAGCAGGGACAGGCCCCAGGCACACGGCCCCCCCACCTACTACCTGGTTCCTGGCCAGCAACCTCACCACGACCTGCAGGCACAGCCTACCAGGTCTTCAGGTTTCCTCAGAGAGCTTGGTGCTTGATGGCAAACATGTCCTGTCACCTCTAACAGTGGAGCAGGCTGCCTGGATGCCAGGCTGGGGGTGGCACCTGCCACAGTGCTGGGGGGCCTGCATGGGGAGGCTCTCACGAGCCCTGTCCACATCCCGGCCACAGGCTGACGAGGCGAGACTGACCACCAGGAAGCCTCACAGATCCTGCTCATTCCCTGGAGCTGAACACCCTGAAGATGCTGATGGATCATTGACCACCTCTGTGCCTCAGTTTCCACAACTGGATACCAAGGGCCACTGTCAGACCCTCCTCACTGAGACTCGGGGGGCAGGAAGGAAAGACCCCCGCCCCAGGGGGGCTGGGACGGGCAGACGCACTTTTTGCCCAGGGCAGAGAGTCCGTACAGCACGCCGGTGGCGAAGGCGACAGCATTGCCCAGCAGAGTGGTCAGGGTCAGGCTGATGATGATGGGGACGACGGCCATCCTGAGGGAGAGGCAGAGGTCACGGGGCGTGCCCCACCTGCAGCCGCCACCCACCTCCAGGCTCCCCCGTCCACCCAGCCCCTCCCTGACCATCAGGTACAGGAGAGTCCCCAGAAACCAGCTGGGACGGAGGTTCACAGCTGGGCTTCCTAAGTCCTCCAGTGCCCATGACCTTGTCTGCCCAATTCTGGGTGTCGTCATCGGATTTGTGAAAAGGTCTGTGACCCCAAAAAGGGCTAAGACAGCACTGAGATGGTCCAACCCCCTCCAGTTCACAGAAACAGGCGACCAGGAAACCTCTCGTCTGTTCAGTCCCTTACGGCTCTGTGCCTGTGGGCTCTGTGACGCTGGGCAGCCTGCTTAACTTCTCTGAGGCTAGTCTCTACTGTGGGGGGGAATCAACCCTCAGAAGCTTTGTGCGACTGAGCGAGGGAGGGCCAGTTCACACACCGCCTGGGACAGAGGCACTAATTAAATGCGGCTCCTGGCAGCACAGGACAGCCCGCCATAGGTCAACAAGGAAGAGCCAAAGGTGGAACCCCGCGAGGCATGGGGCTCATTGCCAGGTTCCGGCACCGGCAGCTCACTGGCTCTGTCCTCTCCGGTCCCACATACAGCCTGGCGCCCCCTGGCGGCAGGTGTCCCCTTGGGCTTAAGTACCCGCAGGGCTGAGCCTTGATGGTGGGATTAACTTGGCCAGGAAAACTCTGAGAAATGTGTGGGGACTTGGACCAGCGTGCTGTCCTGCCACTTCCTGGATGAGGCTGCCCACGCTCCCAGGCATGCGCCCCGGCCTCCCCCTGCCCACAGTGTGACCGTACAGAGGAGCAGACAGCGGGCACAGCCCTCTGGCCACACGGAGGAGGAGAATGGGGCCCGACCTTTTCACTTCACCAGGACTTCCAATCTGGCTGCCACGTGACATGACGTCCTACTGGGCAGCTGACCCCTGCACCACACGGGTTTGAACTGCACAGGCCCACGCGTGTGCAGACCTTTCCAATAAACATGCACAGCACTGTAAATGCATTTACATATATTTTATTTTCTTCCTTACGATTTTTTAAGGTATGTTTATTGATTTCAGGGAGGAAGGAAGAGGGAGAGATAGAAACACCAGTGATGAGAGAGAATCATGGATTGGCTGCCTCCTGCACACCCCCACTGGGGATCAAGCCTGCAACCGGGCATTTACCCTGACCGGGAATCTAACTGTGACTTCCTGGTTCATGGGTCGATGCTCAACCACTGAGCCACACTGGCCAGGCATCTTCCTTAGGATTGTAATGTTTCTCTTCTCTAGCCTACTTTATTGTGAGAATACAGTATATGATACCTACCTATGTGTCAACCCACTGCTTATGTTGCCGATGAGGCTTCTTTTAGTCAACAGCAGGCTATTAACACTTCCATTTTCAGGGGGTTTGACTGCATGGGGTTGGCACCCCTAACCCCTGCGTTCTTCAAGGGTCAAGTGTAGTTACAAAATTTCTAAGTGATAAAGGAATAACAGAAACTACAACAACAGAAAGGCCACAGGGGAAAAAATCTGTCAAAACCAAATGAAAGGCAAACAACAGACTAGAAAAACATCTGCAGGAAATCTGACAAAGGACTGAGAAACCTTTGCTA